CGTTTTCTTTTAATAGACTCCATACCCTTAAAGAGTGTGTACATTATATGTGTATCTTTATTTTATATCCAGTCATTCATGAGAGAATTTATCCGCACACTCAATAATTTCCTCTTCAAACTAATTTTCACCTAATCTAACATCTCATAAGATGAATAGATTAATTATTTTGCCACTCATATCGTTTGCAGTTTATGTAGTTATAATTAATCTTCAAAGACCACTAGTTTCTTTTGTTCTTTTTAAAATGTATGCATCTTTAAAGTTTCAAGGTAAAGATTAGCATGTAAACGAGTAAAGACACTAAGTCGAACTCCTCTGTATCACTATACTATCTCTATACTTATCTTGTTGGACCATTGATTACAATATCGATTATTGGGCTTTCTATCAATCAAAAAACAATGTTTATAATTTTCAAAGGCCACTACATCTTTTTTTTTGTATGTATGATGTATTTATAAAGCTTCATGTAAAAATAGTAAATCGACATTTATAAAGTATATCATTACAACATTTATATACTTTATCTTGTTGAACGATTGATGACAATATCACTTGTAGGGCTAAATCAAACCAAAAATAATGTAACTTGCACAATTCTTTAAAATGTCTCACAGGTCATAACATCAAAGTAAGGAGCTATTTCTAATCAAACAAAATCCAATAGTAGTTTTTTGTTAGGTAAATAAGGATAATTTCGATTTTTTAAAATAATATTCTGTTTTTCTAGATCATAAAATAATACTTATTCTAAAACAAAGTAAAAAGATTAAACATCATTTACTTCAAAGAATATAGAGGAAATAATATTTTATTTTATTTTTAACTATCCATATAAAATAGGGAAAATTGTATGAAATAACAAACTATTAATTCAAATTAAATGTTATAGCCATAGTTTCTTTTATTTGTAATTCGCAACAAAATTCTATGTTTTTTGTCATCCCATTTGTATACCGAAATATACAAATAGACCCATTCGGTATACATATGTGTTGTATAAAAATTAATTGTAGGACCCATTTATATACCGAAATATACAAATAGACCTATTCGGTATACATATGTGTTGTATAAAAATTAATTGTAGGACCCATTTATATACCGAAATATACAAATAGACCTATTCGGTATACATATGTGTTGTATAAAAATTAATTGTAGGACCCATTTATATACCGAAATATACAAATAGACCTATTCGGTATACATATGTGTTGTATAAAAATTAATTGTAGGACCCATTTATATACCGAAATATACAAATAGACCTATTCGGTATACATATGTGTTGTATAAAAATTAATTGTAGGACCCATTTATATACCGAAATATACAAATAGACCTATTCGGTATACATATGTGTTGTATAAAAATTAATTGTAGGACCCATTTATATACCGAAATATACAAATAGACCTATTCGGTATACATATGTGTTGTATAAAAATTAATTGTAGGACCCATTTATATACCGAAATATACAAATAGACCTATTCGGTATACATATGTGTTGTATAAAAATTAATTGTAGGACCCATTTATATACCGAAATATACAAATAGACCTATTCGGTATACATATGTGTTGTATATATGTAGTAATTTTGATTATATATAATTACTGTGTTTTAGTTTGTATACCAAAATATACAAAATACAGATTTTTATGTATATGTATACCTTAATATACAGATTAATAGTCACAGCAAACATAAAATTTGTTATAGAGCACAATTATACAAACTATATTTATAACATACAAATATAATTTTTACATTTACTAAACCTAAAATTTACTCGGTAAAATTTTACTAGATGTAACTGAACCGGGACGGAATATGATCCATAATACAAAGTTTGGTAGCGCAAGAACTTATGGAGTTGTGGCACGAAGCAAGCCAAAAAAACAGCTGGCACAAGCTCCGCGCCATATCCAAGCTCATCCTTGTGACTGCTTAAGCTGGCCCCACAAGTTGACAGTTTTGTTGTGTTGCAACGGGCCGCGTGTCAAGCCAAAATAGCTGATAGTCTTGAGGGCCTTATTTTACTGTTCAGGTGAAAACAAACGATCTTCCCAAAATTCCCTTTTACTTTATTTCTTCGGAAAAGGAGTCAAATTTTGGATACATGTTTTTTCTTATTCTTTGTTTTTGGTGAATATGAATAGTTAGAAGAAAACTAGGGGCGGATTTAGTAGGCACGTTTGGATATAAAAAAAAAACATATGATATTTGAATAAAATAAAATTAAAATTGGTCAAAAAAAGATAACTATTCAAACTTAAAAGCTCATCTTACAAAAGAAAATTACAAATCAAGCCAATACATAATCAATTTTATTTTTAAAAAAAGTATTATTTGAGTGACTTTTGTAGGTAAAATTACAAAAATTGTGATATTTTTGTGACAAAATAAAGTTGAGCTTACATTAGGAGATAATTATCATTAGTTTAGTGATTTTGTGTTATGAAAAAAATGAGTCACTTTTCGAGATAAGTTTTTTACTTTTCTTGTTTCAATTTATTTATCATAGTTTGACTTGATACAAATAGTGTTATTCTTCAATTTTGGAGATCAAAATAAAATACACATTTATGTTTATCCCAAAAAACCCCTTCCTTTCAGTTGTTGCCAGCGCTTTCCCGGGCCGAGCCGGAATTTTTTATTAGAAAGGGCAGGCAAAGCCCGAAGGCTGCTATCCCAATAGGAAGGGCGGAACGAGGAGAGGAGCTGAAAGCCACTTGACTGTAAGGAGAGGGCCCGGCAATCATACCACGGCGGTCAAAAAAGCGTGTTCCCTTCAGATAAGACGCACCGTAGGCCATCCTCGGCCTTCTTCGTTTTCGATGAAAATAAAATCTCGATCTCCGAAAGCGTTTTCCTTCCCCCGCCGCACCTCCCTCCCTTCGTCGAGCCTTTACTTTAATGGTTGGGGAAAGCATTCCCTTATCTGAACTTGGTGGGCATTCTTTCCAGCCTTAGTAAAATAGGGGGTGGGTTTGGCTTGAACATAGGCTCAAACATAATTTGAAGGGTCCTATCTACGCCATGCGTTCAATACAAAATCTGGAAAGCTGTAGGGATGACAAAAAGAGACGAGCGTCTTCTCTTAGGTTTCTTCCTCCTGCGCCCGTCGCCGCCCGGCCACTAGCGGCACTTTCGAGATGCCACCTTGAAATAGAAAGTCTTTTCAATTCCATTTGACTCGGGGCGTCAGGGACTCTCCAACAGAAACCTCGTCTTTTTTGTCGTCGATAAGTTCTCCCTCAGTGCCCTACTATTCATAAGAAATACTGATTGTTGAGAGACTAATTTATGAAAGCCCGGTGAGGCCTCAACCGACAGCCTTGCTTCGTTCTGCGGCGGTTTCAAGCTAGCACCCGTTTCAGCATATCATCTCGCTCGATTCAAAAAAAAAAAGCGACAGTTTTGAATTTAATCCAGTTCTATATCGAAAACGAGCAAGTTGATCCCAGAAAGCAACGCTGGCTTTGTTGCGGGTTCAACTCGAATTGTAAGAAGTGAGGTAAATTACCTTTCTCCCCACCCCATATGCCTCCTCTGCTTATGCCACTGGTGATGAACTCACTATGGCTATTCAACGTCAAACTCAGAGTTTTTCTTACTACATAGGCGGCTAAACGAAGCCCCAGTCTTTTTTTGTCAAACCCCAACCCCCTTATTAGTAGCCGAAGTAAAGGCCAGCATGAGATCAAAGTCACTTGTTGTCCGTTCGCTCTCTGTACAACAAAGGCCATCGATATTCCCTTACTTCTCAAGTT